TTGTTATCTATAGGCATATCTATATGTAGTTCTATATCTGTTTTTGGGAAAAAAGTTCTTAATTGTTACTCTGTGTATCTGTTTAGAAAGTTGCAGTATAATATTCCAAATTATTTGAGCAGACGGGGCAAAAAAATTTGCCGTTATCCAGTCATTTGTGTGTGTTTGAATATCGCCGTTACAGTCACTGCAACATGCAAAGCACAAAGTCTGAAGGGAGTAAAGCCTGTGTTTATTTTATTGAGAAAATGTAGGCTAATCTGGCCCAAGACAAACTTTTGTTTATAAATAAATGTTCATTTAAAAGCATCTTACGATCAGCATATTATTTTACTATGAGATTCGCAGATTAGTTCTAACGTCACTGAATCTGATGTTAAAAATGAACGATCCACTGACCATAACATAACATCATGCTTAAAACAAAGAATTACAGTCATTAAAGGGTTAGTTCACCCAAAAATGAAAATTAGCCCATAAATTACTCACCCTCAAGTCATCCTAGGTGTATGTGACTTTCTTCTTTGGCTCCGGGGGGTGAACAAAGGCCTTCTGTAGCGAATCGATGCGTTTTTGTAAGAAAAATATCCATATTCAAAACGTAATAATCACATTAATGTAGCTTGCGCTCACTGTTGTACACTAGAAGCACTTCCGGGGGAATGACGTATAAGGTCAGCTTTGCATGCTCCGCTCAGAAGTGACGCACGCGGAAGCGCAGGGGAGAGATCAAAACAAAACAACGGTTACTAATTAGAAGTACAAAACGAGGATTTGTAAAGAAGAATGTCGGAGGATTTCGATAGAAGCCAAGAGCAGACTGGTTTTCCTTTGGTAACAGGAGCAAAGGAAGCAAAGTTTCCTTACTTTAGCAAACGTTGGTTTTCACGAGACTCACTGGCGCATGCGCAGCTCTGACCTCATAGGTCATTCCCCCAGAACTGCTTCCAGTGTACAGTGAGAGCAAGCTACATTAAAGTGATTATTACGTTTTGAATATGGATATTTTTCTTACAAAAACGCATGCAACACCCGCTGAGTGGCATTAAACAGCTTGAAATATCAAAGACAATTTTTAATATAACTCCGACTTGATTCGTCTGAAAGAAGAAAGTCATATACACCTAAGATGACTTGAGGGGGAGTAATTTATGGGCTAATTTTCATTTTTGGGAGAACTAACCCTTTAAAGTGACGATCGGTTGTGGGTCGGGTGCGGATATCTATATCAAAGAAAATTATAGTTGCGGATGGGTGGCGGGTGGATAATTTATTTGAAGCAGCGGATGCGGGTGACATTTTAGCTCATCCGCGCACAGGGCTGGGGAGTAACAAAATACATGTAATGGCATTACGTTTTTAAAATACAAAATATGAGTAACTGTATTTTGTTATAATTACATTTTAAACAGGTGGTAATCAAATTACAGTTACATCCGAAAAGTATTTTAGATTAAAATTCAAAGTAATCACGTTGGTAATGTCATTTCTTAATTTAATATTTAAGTAAACAGTTTGGAGATTTTAACCAATAAGGCAACTGATTCTCCGTTGGAAAAAAAAAAAAACCTGCGTGCAGCAGCCTGTTCATTTAGCAACTCTTTAGTGAGAGTGCATACGCTCATCACGACACAAAAATGGATGACACAACAGAAAGCCATTCATGTAATGCATTTCTCTCTTGGAAATACAAAGACTATTTTAAATTTTGTTGCAGGAAGGCATTGCATTGATGTTACGTCCTTTTTCAGATTTATATCAGCATCGAAGGATTCAACGTCTAATCTGAAAAAGCATCTTGAGGGAAGTTGTTCTTGATCTTAGAAAAACAAGTTACTGGATAAAATGTTTCAATTTTCTCATATTTTGAGTGTTGAATTGTTATCTTTACGTTTAATATTTCTAAGAATTTAATTGAAAAATTACAACGAATTCACCTAGAATTCACACTTTGCATTCAGTTAACAGATCCATACGAATCATGCATGAAATAAAAGTTTATAAAGTCAAACGATAGCTTTGTGTGCTTTACAGATGAACTTGAAATCTTTATTCATTCTAAATGTTCAAGAATAGATTATCTTTGGCGCGGTAATGCAAGTTCATGATCCGATTCGTGAACAGAGGATTCTTTTGATTCAATCTTTCAAATTAATCATTTATTTTGTTTAATGAAACCAGTGTGAATGGTTCGCATTAAACTGGATAGATCTGGGGTGTGTTTCCCAAAAGCATCGTTAGCGAACTGTGTTTGGCAAATTACACTGAACTATAAGTTACTTGCGACTGTAGTTGCTTTGGGAAACGAGCCCTGTCAATTTTGACTCGGCAATTCTTTTGTGCCGATCGCTTCTCCATAGAGAGGATTATCAGTGAAGTAATCACTTAAAGTTTGGTCCATTCATTAAACAAATCTATTGTATAACTTGGAGGACTGCCAGTTGTTTTGGCTACTTTTATGATATGTTTAGTGTGTCTGGATTCGTTTTGAAGCTTGGAATGCAGCATGAAACGGCACGGAATCCCATTCATTCAAATTGAATTTATATTGATTGGTAGATTTAAATGACACAACATTTTTTTTGTTGTTCATAGAAATGCTGTGGAAAACTGATGTTGTTAAAAATAAAATTAAAGGAAGACGCAAATCTTATGACTGGTAGATGTTTTTAAGTTTTCTCTAAATAAAAGTGACAAGCTATACACAAAGGGACATATTAATGTCTTAAAGTCCCCCTGTAGTCAAATATTTTATCCCTTAAAACTTATCTTTGATCATTAAAATTACATATTTAAATGTTTTTTCTTGTGAAAATAATTTTCTCATTCCTTAAAATAGCTTGAATGTAACTCTACACCCTTGCCTCATTTACTATACGCGGATCTATTAATATGCAAATTAGTCCCGCCTCCACTCAGTCACACAGCCAGCGCCTCCTGATCCACTGAACTGTAGTAACCGCAAAACAATGGCATACACGGATAATGACTGATAAAACTATGTTTTTACTAGCGGACAACTACAGTGAATACTGTAACATTCGTTAAAGTTACTTACTTGACGATGTTGTGTCCTAAAATGCCTTGAAGACTCGAATGCAGCCGTTTGTGATTGTTAATTCGCGCCCGCGAGCATACGCGTGTGAAGTGCAGACGCAGTTTTGACGCTCTCGCCGCCGGCGGTGTGAACGCACAGATAGAGCTCACTCAGTGCCTCTTCTCACCACAGTGAAATGTTCTATACTGTGGATCCACATTTGATGCACAGGTCCAGGATGGACACCTGTGCTCTGGTCATCCTGGCCACTCTACCTGGAAAATGACACACAGGTGAGGGCAATACAGGTGAGGATTGTTTCTCAGTGCTGGTCCAAGAATCCCTCAACACTGAATATTTTGAGTGTATTTCTTATAATGTATTCCCAATCAAGATTAATTCACCCAAATTGTGTATGTCAGATAAGCCTGTTAGCTGACTCCAGGACCATGATTGAGAAACACAAGTACAATAGGGGCTTTTGCACTGGGTAGTTATAGGAACTAGGTTTCGGTCTTACAGAGATGGAATGTAGGCATATAAATTAGACGATTGAAAAAGAAAAGGAGGACTACATATCATCGAGGCTGAGAAAAGAACACAACACTGCAGACAAAGGTGACAGGTAAATGTTATAAACATGAACATTTTTGTACGTTTATGTCTTGTAACACTTTAAAATACTGTGTAGTTGTTTCTTATGGCATGCGAAAGGTTTAAACCCTATTCTGACCCTAAAATCATTCCCAGTTCCTGTGGGACACACGTGCCAAAAAGTAAGTATGCCCGCCAATACAGTAGTTCAAGGAATTATGAAAATGTTTCTCGTGTGGAAAAGCCCCTTATAGCTTTTACAGTTGCTTATAGTAAGTAAATCAGGATAACTGTACTACATATTCAGTTATGCTTTTAAAGTCACTAAATTTTTCTATCTGCCCCTGCAGACTCCCGTAGCTCATGTTTGAAAAGATGTCATCTTCTTCACCAGTCTTTAGTGGGGAAGGTGGACAGAGGGCCTCTTTTGCTGCTCTTTTGGCCTCCTCTGTTATGGCCAGTGGAGTCGTTTAATTAAATTTAATTTAATTGTTGCTTGATTTGACAAACAAGCATGGCCGCCCATATTTGTGAGAGAGGGTGAAGTTTTTAACTATATGACTGCCCCTCTTCAAATTCTTTGTCACTACCATTTTTTACTGACATATACTGGCTCCCCATCGGTGAGTGCACATAAAGTGGTTAACTTATATGTGCCGACGTATTTTATTCCTGTCCATTACAAATGTCAAAGCAGGTTGCAACACACCTGATTCGAAGTGGTGCCGTGCGACTGTAGGGGGTTGTCATCCTTAGAATGAGACAAAAAAATAAAAAAAGGTATTGTTTAATTTTTTTTTTATAATATCTATAACTTTTATTGTATGGACATAAAATTTTAATCTGTGCTGTCAGAGACTATCAAACTTTGTCCACATTTTAAGTCATTTCGTAAATTCTGTCAAGACATCAAATTGTATCAGTGATACCCCATTATCAGAGATTACGGTGTCTGGGACCCTGTGTCATGCAAAATAGGCCTTTAACTTGTGTATCACTCTGCTTATCACTCAGCTGGTGTCAGTGAGATGGTCAATTTCCCAGAAGTTGAAGAAACCGTCAACTCTGATGAGAGACGCTCTGTTGTTGAATGAAAATAAATCTGTTCCCACTTTTGCCCGTGCCCTCATAGGAATGTCATGTGCGCACACTATCTCTTTATGATGTCTTACATCTACAGTTCTGCAAACAGCACATTTCCCGAAATATGCTCTAATGGCAACACTCATTCCAGGCCAGTATACAGTGTCTCTTGCTCTGCGTAAGCTCCTCAATGCCTAGGTGTGTTGCATGAATTCTCTTCTCTATTTGAATTCTACATGAATTCTAATTCTCTATTTGAGCATACCCTTTTTCTGTGGCTCTGCTGCAAAAAGCAACTGGTTGTCCTGCCTGTAAAAGTGCTACACCCAGTCCTGTCTCGGAGGAGTCACACTGAAGAACCAGTTCGTCTTCTGGATTGTAGTACTTCAAAACAGATGCTGAGGAAATAATTTGTTTCAATTTATTGAATTCCTGTACATCAGTCCACTCCCATACCACATCTTTGTGTGTCAGTTGTCTTAATGTGTCCAAGCGTGCACAAAATTTGGACATAGTTCACCATTCCAAATAATCTCTGTAGCCCTTCACATCTGACGATCTGGGCATCTCCAATATGGCTCTCACCTTCTCTGGGTCAATCTTTAGACCTTCTGAAGTGTAGAGATATCAGATGTTAGAAAGCCTAACACGGGGCACCACTAAATGTGGTGATTTTAGATTTAAGTAGCACCACCAGTGTAATGGCTTTGGGCTTAAATATTAATATTAATATTTAGTCTTGGTCATACTATTTTACGGGGCACCAGCCAAGGAATTGCACCTTGACAATAAAGAACAATCATGGAAGACTGTTGAATAAATAAGAATTACAATTAAATTATAGGATTTGTGAGATATCGTTAACTTGTAGAGCCTTTTAACTGTATTATCAACACAAGGAAGACACAAGTGTAATAAAAAAGGTTTTATTAACAAAGGGATAGACAAGAGTAACTAACAACTACTAAATGGATTCAATGAATGGATGAAGTGCAAAAGATTGATAAATGGAAGTGACTGAGTTGGATGTTACTATGGATGTTATCTTATGGAAAGATAAACTGAAGTTTCCTGGAAGTAGGACTGCCACTAACTTTTATTTCGATTAATCTGTCGATTAATCTAAACGATTAATTTCCCACAAAAATCAAAAATTTTACTTAAGAATGTTTTATTAAACTATATTTTATTAAACCAAATGACATCCAAATTTCTATGAAATCCTTTTTTTTAAAGCAAAAGTAAA